CTTGACTGATATAATTTCAAACCTTCTTCCTGAAACATCTTTAGTGTTTTTCCTCAAATTCATCAAGACTTTACAATTAATTAAACAGAAAAAAAAGGAGGGGGGGGAGGGGTAGGGTTGGAGGGGAATTTGCATTTACAATTCTTTTTTTTTTTTTTTTTTTTTACCTTGTTCTAAAGGGCATTATCAAGTAGCAGTAGGCAATTCTTCATTGACTGATTTAAGTTTGGAAGTATACCAGTAACAGAGCCATTGTATTAGTGCGTGACATATTCCAGAACTCAAATGAATAGAAACAAAATAAAGTCACTAAAGCATTAACAGCATCAACATGTTCAGTTAAACTTGATGTATGTTTTAGGTGCTGGCATTCAATGTAACATCATTTATTAGTAAGCGGATGTTAATTTATGCTTTTGCTATTAGAAATAAACTTTCCATTAATCATTGAATTGCTTTCATCTAATTTCATTTAACCAGTAGGTACTGTGTTAGAATTCAGGAATCTTTGATGAATATTATGATTAAATCAGGAAGAAATGCTATATGTAGTGGGGCTATCTTCCTCTGCTTAGCTAGATCTGGAACTTCAAGAAGGAGCCAGTTCTACTTTCCTTGTTCAGTTCTGATGAAAATGCACAGTGCAGTGCACTATCTAGTTTTATAGCCAGCGTTAGCAAGTTATTGAGTTAAACATGTATTTGCTTGGCATAATGTGCAAGTAGGGAAGAAGCTTAGTTCCTGGTTCAATTAGGAAGATGAGCTTTACATCTTTATTGTTATTTTAATTCTGTGGAATAAAGTAGTTTCTAAATGCAAGATCAAATGTTATGTTTTTTTTTTTTTCCCCCAATTCCTCTTAATATGTTCATTTTACATCAATTTAATTGGCGGGTATTGGACTTGTTGAGGTACCATCCAGTCTGTGTTCTATAATTTTCTGCATCTAGTGATTGTGTGAAAATTGTGGCCTGCTTTCCAGCCTCACATGAAACTGATTTATTCTGTAATATTTCTTCATTAATGGGTTTTTAAATATTTTAGTTTTCATAATGATTACTAAGATATTTCCTTACAATTACTGACCACCTTGACTTTGGGACATTTGATCGAATTGAAGAGGGATAAAGGTGCATAAGTTTTACAAAATGGTAATAGCCATGCTTAATGGACTTTTTTTTTTTTTTTTTTTTTTTTTTTTCAGCTTAGCAGGGTAATGCCCTTCCTTTAGTTGTTTCAAACAATATTTGCATCACAAATGGTAACTAGATATATCTAGCTTTTGGTTGTGCCAGCAGACATGGCCCTTGCCATTATCACATAATACTATCTTATGGTTGACCAGGACATTTTTATGACATTTTTATATGCCCATCTCACTAAAATCTTACATTTGCTGGTATCCTAGATATGCATGTCTGTAAATAAAGCCCTAAGTTATTCACAACATCTGTGATCAGTAGATGATAACACATCTTTCCTAAATTCTTACATGTATTCCTTCGTCAGTGAGTAGAAATGAAGATATTTAATCTCTGTCCTCTCTCAGAAACGCAGCATCACAGTGAATGTATTCATCTTCTGTATAATGTTTCCTTTGCCTTCTTAGCCCTTTATATTTTCTGCAGATACATAGTTTTTAATTTCACTGTGATATATTGCCAGTCTGTCCATAGTCAGTACTGTAGACTCTTCACTTGGTGTCTGATTACGCTAGGAATTTATCCTTGGATTCTGAAGCCAGCATCTTTAACAGATTGATCACACCAGTTGCCTGGTGAGGCTGTTCAGGGTAATAAAGGTGTGTTGATGCCTGTAGGGTCCTGACAAATAGGTATCTGTCCCAGTTGCAATGTAGAATTTTGGTCCTCTGATGAGGAAGGTAATTTTACTGAGCAATCCTCACGACAGGTGGATGATGGGAAATTATAAACCCATCATAAAGATCAGGTTGGCATATTCAGATGTAGATTTACAGTTATAATTTAATCACAGACTATGCACAGATAGAATTTTGTAGATCACAAGAAGAGAAGGCATATGTTACCACTGGCATTATTGTTTTATGTTCAAGCATGCAAAACATTACTTTCCGGCATTATTCATACAATCTCTTGGGAGAAAGGTTACTGTGACAGGAGCTCCTATTGAAACAGAGATTTACAACCAGTCGTCTTTTAAAAATTAGATTTGTGTGTGTACAGGAGAGATGGAAGAAAATGGATGGTGAAGTACATTACGCTCCTTTCAGATGGTATTAGATTCACGCTTATCGCATTGTGTAGGATTTTTATTTTATTTTTGTTTTTTTTGTCAAAGATGGCTGGGGTGATCATAATCTGCTGGGATCACATTCTAATTCTGTTACCCCAATACAGATCACTTTGACAATTTTTTTTTTTTTTCTAATTCCTGTTATATTCTGATAAATTTATTTGATAGAAATGCAACATTGAGGGAAATTGAATAACTTGCTTTTAGAGCTAGGTAAGAACTGATTTTCACCAGTGCATCAGAAGTCAATGTTCTTGATTTAATTGAAAAATTCTGCAAAGTGTTTTTAAATATTTAAGAATGTTTGGCTTTATATCAGTTTAGTGTGTCAGTTTGCTGATGTGCAATTTGTTAATTATTTAAAAGAAACAACAAATTTGAAATAATGATACTGACATAAAATTATGGATACTTAAATAAAAAGCCCCTCTGTATTTCAGTGATTAATCTTGAATCTTTTCAAACATTTTTGAGCATAATTATTAAGCACAGATGGGCGAAAATGAGCTTCAGGTTTATGGAATGGGTTCTAGTTTCCAGCTGCTTATTTGCATTAAGAAAAACTAAACTAAAACTAAACTGCAGTCATGTTTGCTTTTTCTCATTTTCATCAGTACTGCAATAGATAATCACCTAACAAGTCACTGAAAACATCTCTAAAGTATGGCTTTTATAATTTGGCAACACAGGGCTGTACATCTAAAGGGCAGGCATGTTCACCGCATTTGGTAAAATATGGACTAATATTGTCCATACCACCCACGTCTGGAATTAGCATAGAATGAATAAATGTAGCTGAATTTGGTTTTATCACATGGAGCTATTGGGTGGAGCTGATGTCAGAGCACAGGGCACTGTACTGGGGATTATTGCTGAAGAAGTAATATTCAAGCTATGTAAGGATAGCTGCTAGTAATGTAATGAAACAAGAGAATAGAGAGCTAGAATGGAAAGAAAAGTTAGCAAGTGAGATTGGTTGAATTAAACTGTTAGGCAGTGTTTGCATTCAATTTGGTATTCTCATTCATTCTGGAAGTAGACCATTAATATCTAAAGCTTTTTGCTAATCAACATTCCTTTTTCAGACTTGGAAATGTCTGTAAAGTTTTCTGTTTCAGGAAGAAGCGCTTAGTAGTGATGAATAATACTGCTTGAAATTTCATAGTATGATATTATAAAAGTTACGCTAAGTGCCAAAAGGCTGTTACATTTAACATAAACAAGACAGGTCAGGCTTAGTATTTTAGAAGCAGAGATTGCACTTACTGGGTGGAGGGGGCAGAAAGGAGCAGTGTAATAGCATGAAATGTGCAGGAGAAAGATGTGAGGCCAAGACTCCTACCAGTCAGCTTCTCATAAAAAATATTAAGGGGAATCAGGATTTTAAATTAAAAGCTGTTCTGTCTCCATGCAAATTGTATGAAATTTAGAAGCTCCGAGCTTTATAAGTAATAGTGCTTTGGAATACCTGATCCCTTTTAAACCAGAGTTCTAATTAAACACAGCAACAGTATTTGCACACATCTAGAACATGGATGTGAAAATAATGGTAAAGAGATGTATGCTTAGCAACTTAAAAAGGCTTATCAGAAAAACAACAACAAAACAAAAAACAAACAGGAAACTTGTTATTGGCTCTTGTTGAGATCGGATTGGAATACTTGCTACTTTTTGGGAGTGGAAGAGAAAGATGTAGCTTGGTTTTGATCTGCAGGACTTAGAGGATATTTCTCTTCAAGTTACAATTTGCCTAAATGAAAAATCACTTTATGACACTAATCATTTAATGATGTTATGTAAAGACAAAGATGTGCACAAATGTACACTACATTCAATTACATGCTGATCTACTGAACAGAACATAAGGATATTGTTTTACAATCTCTGTATAATTGACAAACTACAGATTAGAAGATCTTCTTTCTTTTGTTTTTTCTTTTCTGTCAGAATGCCCTGTTAAAGATTGGTTTATTTCACTTTTTAATTAAAAAAAAAAAAAAAAAAAAAAAAAAAAAAAAGAAACCCACACACTCTACTTTCCTACCACTCTCATAGGAAAAAAAAATCTCCTTCCCAGCAAAATGCCAGATAACGCCATGGTTTTCATGAGGGTTAAGGAGTGCAGAAGCAATATGTGTAGTGATTACAGAAGATGGTTTTGTCTTATTTGGGACATAATAAGAACACTGTCATTATTCTGCTTGACTGGCTCATTTTTAATGTCGCCTTAGGCAGTCAGTGGGTAGATATGAACTTTTCTTTATTCCTTTTGACCCTAAAATACACTGTCAAATCAAGTATTAATTTCAATGTCTTTGCATCTCTTCAGGGAAGAAAAAAACAATGTGAAAGAGATTATTTCACCTCCTCTTAGTCATTAGTTTTTGTAACATTTGTTTGAATACGAAAACAATGTGGTAAGAAATTTTGAATTTTGCTCTCATCATATTAGGAAGAGCAAAACAATGAAGGTAGGCTGCCTGTGAGGGAAGCAGAATATGTGGTTTTCTAAATGGTAAAGACACTCTACATAACCTCAGTCCTAAGACCTGCTCACACCTAAACTTTACTTCATGACCTGAGGAGGTTGTGGATTGGCCTGAAAAGAATTCCTAAGGCATCAGAAATGTGTTGGTGTTGCAAGCATCAGGACTCTCTGTAGGTTTTGATTGAATCTTCAAGGTTGGCTCTGTCCCATTCGTAAGTGGAGTTACTACGTTTTCAAGGTCATGGAGGAAGACCATGTGGAAGCCCAGAGAAAGAAGAAAAATAGTCTGAAGACAGCTTCCTCAATCCCCCTTCCACTGCCCAGGGTTTGTATTTGTATTATTTAAAAAATGCTGAGGTAATGTTCAAAATCTGTAAGCAGTTAGTTTTACATACAATATTAAGTTTGTATTTGAGCTTCCTCTTTACAAATCTTTCCTCTCAGATACCTAGTTTTATCTGGAAACATGAATGGGATTCCTTACTTAGAAGAAATGGCATATGGATTTATATATATGCTTTTAAGCTTGAGCTTGTACCAAGAAACTAAAGTGTTACATTCAAAACATGTGCCTGTTTTCACCATCTGTATTAAATGTCAAAACTATTTCCTTTTTAGAGACTTTAGAAAACAGATCAGTGATGCAAACTTGTCTTTTTGTTTTCAAAAAATGGTAAAAGGCAACAAGTAGAAAAACTGGGAGTTTGGCAAAGAAAATCATTCTATCCCTCCTTAGTGGCTCTCAAAAGGAGCTGAGTGAGTGCACTGAATCAGTGATTTTATCTTCCTCCTCTTCCAGTTGCCTATCCCAACATGCTTTCACTTGGGCATCAACAAAGGTCTTCGCGTTTGGCAGCAAAACCAGAGTAATCTCTGAGAAGTAAAAAACAATAATAAATGTTTGTCCTAATTTTTGGTTCAGCAGAGAGAGTCCTGTAAGAGCTGTTCACATCAGACAATTACTCGTTACATTGTGTTGTCCTTACCTTTATCTGAATGCTACTAGTATCAGCATCAGTAGGGTTTAGTGCAAAGTCTATTACTTGCAAGAATTGTTCCATTGGATCTAGCTTTCAGAGCAAGGACCATCATTTGCTTCTAAGAATTAGCTAGAGTAAAAACTAGAAATGAAGTCTGAACCTCAATCTTCAGCAAATAGCCATTTCTCAACAAAAACAGTCAATACAAGGCGTCCGCAAAGTGTTTGGACAATTCTTTCTTATGAGCTAGAAATCCTGAAATCAGGATCTTTCATCCTGGGAATAAAAACCTCTTCAGTTTCCCATATAAAGTGCAGGTGAATGATAGCTATAAAAATGATGCTGTGAATGGTGTTGAATAGGAGGAGGAAAGAAAGAAAAAAATTAATGTCTGTAATCTCTCCAAAATAGTGATGGCATACTGAACCTGATCAGATAGATTGCAGTCCTCAGAGAGACAATTCAATAAATTATGTATTTAATTCACCTAACACCGACAGTGACCTGGTCATGCAATAAGAAAAAGACTGTTGCTTCTAGTTTGATTCAGAAAATTTGCATCTTAAAATGTATTTGATGTTCACATTTAAAAAAAACTGAAGAAGTCTTCTGCAGTATTTAGCATAGGTAAGTTTTAGCCATCTCCAAAGATGTCAGAAACAGGGTCAGATCAATTGAGAAGTTTCTGTGCAAGGAGAGGCAATGTGGCTTTCACCTGCTGTTCTTACTCCCCAGTACTTACCTTCTGACAGTGGTGCTCTCAATGCTTTTGTGCCTCAGTGAACTAGTATGAGCCTCACAGAAAATGCACCAAACACTCCTAACCACTTCAGGTTAGAAAAATAAAAGCTAAGTGTCCCTTTTAAATTATATTTTATACTGATGTAGTGCAGTATTCCATCCACTTTCTTGTGTTGCTTCATACTCAGACACAGAAAATTCTATTAATTCCTTTGAGCGCCTTCCAAAATTACAGTTTGTTTTTCAGTAGCTTTGAGAAATAAATTGTGGGAAGGGAAGAAGAGTTTTGAATTGTATGTTATAAACTTGCTCACATCTGTTACAATTTTGGGAACTAATGTGGAAACTTTCTGGTGTTGATCTCAAGAGTCTTTGGGAGCAAATTCAGGTAAAATAGTTTGATTTTTCATTTCCTCAAGTTTAAGATTTTGCATGGAGGTGTACTGGACAAGACAATCTGGGAGGAGATATAAGAATATATCTACAGCTTCTGAGCTGAATCTTATCAGCCCATTAACTCTCAACACAGTTCTGCAGCCTCTTCTAAATCCTCAGCCTCAAGTGCCATATGCAACATATCATCTCACCATAACTCTATAAAAGTGTATGCCTTACATCTCTGTGTGGAGAGAAGAACTTTCTGTTCAACAGTTTACAGAGTAACTGAGTGGCATAGAACAGTGTGCACTGACATTTCGTTTAGTGAGTGTGCATGTAGCAAAGTCAATAGATATTCATGTGTTTTTGTTTAATAAATTCATATGGATTGAAAACCTTTTCTAATTTAGTAACATGAAGTAACCTGCAAGGTTATTGATCACATTTAATATTTGATTCTGTTCCTTTCCTCAGCTAAAAATCAAAATTTATCAGTTAGAGTATGAGAAGCTTAACGATAAATTGATTCTGGATAATACCTGAGGAACACTAAAGCCCTAGCTTTCCTCCAAAAGGTAAAAAGCATTTGCTTGCAGAATTCCACTGAGCAGGGCCCAATAACTCTGAAACACAGAGTTCAGTAAAATCTTATTATACTTAGGTAGCTCCAAAAGTAATGCTTCTTAATTCCATGGACACTACAGCAGATATAAAAAGCACAATAATGCTATTTGATAGAGCAAATTTTCAGCTACAAAATGCTATTTTTCAACAGTCTAGGAGAGCCATCTTTGATTAATGTTTGTGTCAAAAATAATACTGACTTAAATATGATGCTACAGTTCCAGCTGTAATTCTTTGTCAGCTTCTCTCTTACCCAAATTCTCTCATTTGCTGACCTTGTCAAATTCCTAACCATCACGTTTTTACAAAGCTGTAGGAAGAAGAACTGTTCTTCATGGTTTACTCCAGAATGTAAGTTTAGACTACACAGACATCAGCATAGAGGTGTTCTTGTGCTCAAGCCTCAATGTCTGAATTTGATCCTCATTGTGAGGTATGCACTCTTGAGCTGAATGCAACTCCATTCACTGAGCTTTGGAACCCTGGGAGTAGGAGAGGCTGTTAGTAAGTGTGAACTCTGTGTTTGGGATCAAGGAACTTAGAAGCCTGCCAGCTGGCTTTTCCAATTATCTCAAGTTTTCTTGTGTCCCTTTAGACTTCTGGATAATTGGGGTTATAAGCTTTATTGTTTTCTCTGATTTTGAACTACTGCTGCTTAGATGAGCTTCAGCACTTTCATTGCCTTTTGTTGTTTTTTTGTTTGTTTGTTTGTTTTTTAATGTCTCCACCTGTGAAATATTTACCCACAACTTAGGCAGATTTTGCAGTTTCTGTCTTTTATGTAGTATTAAGTAGTATGACCACTAGATAATACATAAGTTTTTAAAGAAATGAATACATAAATGACATTCTTCCATTTAGATTTAGTTCTAAATTTATACTTACTTTGGCTACACTTTCAGTTGTTTCTAAGGGATTATCTGATGAGCTGTTTGAAATCAGAAGTATCTTGTCTCATAAAAAAAAAAGTTGGTGAATTTTATAACAATTGTAACTTGCTACAGAATCTCAAATGAAACTCTTGTTTTGGCATGTTAGTAGCAAACTGATTTAAAAAAAGGAATTGTTTACCTGTATTTTGATATAGAACACAATCTAAATCAATTCTGAGTATTGTAATTGAAAATGACGCACTCAGTCTTTTCCTAAACTATTGTGTGTTTACTGCTGTTGTTGTAGTAGCTCCAACTTTTACCTTGAGATAACACATACTTTTTCCTCATCCACTTCCTACATTTCCAAGGTATCAGAAGGAAGAGCGTACATGAATTTGGTAGAGGAAGAGACTGAATAATATTGTTAGGAATCAAGCTGATACAGATTCACAGCTGGGATAGGTCAGAGGCCCACTGGTTTTAAAGACAAAACTGCAAGATGTGTAGTATTATCATATTTGGACTCTCATCTTTTACAGGGTAATTCTCTTTGGCAAATTTGAAAAAAAGTAGGAACAGCCATACCTTTTTAAACGGGAAGTGCAACACTGTAAAGATTGTTACTTGTCTTAGCAACATAATCATTTTATTTTTTCAATTTTGAAGTGACTGTCTAGTAGACTGTTACTTCCTACATGGGTCAGAAGAATTTAGCTAAAGTATAGTGCAGAATTTGTAGATATTTAGCAAATCTTTTCTCTTTTCCACTCAAATGGCAACATTTGAATCCTAGTGTTACTGCTTGTACAAAACCAGACAGCGTGGACAAAGCCAGCCTGTGTGCTCTTTAGGAAACCAAGGCTGCTAATAACTTCTCACTCATCTACAAACATAAAAGCCAGCTACTATTCAGTACTTAGCAATATATAACAACCATTTCATACCTGTGTTGAGAGGTAATTAGTCTGCCCTCTATTGCTTTTTCACATCAATGAAAAAAATGAAAACAAAAATTCAACCACTAGATTGGTACAGTGAAACTAGAGAGTTTAAAGGGCCCTGATGCCATCTAATGTTGCTAGATTTTATGGAGTTTTGTTTGTTTGGTTGGTTTTCTTTTCAAAGAATACAAATATAAAGATTTTCAGATCATAAAATCAAAATTGAATGTATAAATTGAAAATGAATGTAAAAATAAGTATTTTTCTTTCTTTCTCCTAGCACAGGAGATAGTCTTTTGACTTCGCTATATTTTCTTTCAGATTCTTAGACCTTATAAGGTCTTTTTCTTCTAAGACCTTCTAAGACTTTTTCAGTTAGTTTTGGGAACCCATGGAAAAAAGAGTCTTTAAAATGAATCTAGATATGAGCATAATTACTTTTCTCAAGTAAGTCTGCACTGAGATTTATGGTATTTGTAAAAGTTGCACATTTTAATAATGAATGACTTCAGTTTCTGGTTGATACACTAACAAAGAAGTTAAGAATATTAAGAATATAGTTATGTGTTTTACATTTGACATACCATCAATGCATTTATACTTGATGCACACAGGTTCCTACCCAGAGCTCAAAACTCTATTATATAGAAAATTTTGTATAAAACAAATGAAGTAAAACAAAACAAAACAACACATTATTTTCTGTGGACTAAACGTTTAAATAAAATTTTAACTTTCATACAACATGGGTTTGAAGTTCCTCTTGCTGAATAACTTTAGCTCATCTTTTCAGCTGGCCCACATGTCTTTATACTTTTGGACAGAAACATGTTTGAAAAGAAGCACAGGCCTCCTCTTTCTCATATGACTGCTTAATTAGCACCACCTAATGTTAAGATAATCAGGAGAGGAGCACATAATAAAACAGAGGTGACTCTTTGGAAGGGTAGATAACAACAGGACAAGGGAAAATGTTTTTTAAATTGAGGGAGGGAAGATTTAGGTTGGATGTCAGGGGGAGCTTCTTTACTATGAGAGTGGTGAGGTGCTGGAACAGGCTGCCCAGAGAGGTTGTGGATGCATTCCATTCCTGGAGGTGTTCAAGGCCAGATTGGATGGGGCCATGGGCAACCTGGTCTAGTATTAAATGTGGAGTTTGGTGACCCTGCATATGGCAAGGGGATTGGAGCTTCCTGATCCTTGAGGTCCCTTCCAACCTGGGCCTGTGATTCTGTGGTTCTGTCCTTTGGAAATGTTCAGAATGTTTTTGAGCCTCTGTTGTTAATTTTTTTAAATAAAGCTGAATACTTGATCATAAAAGGTGTAGAGTATAAAAAGAAATAAAGCTTTAGGATTTGTATAG